CCCGCCTGCCTGCTGCAGGGCTGGCCAGAGGTGTAACATTACCGCTACTGGCTCATGGCGCCAACGGCTCCAGCCCCTCAGCTCCCACCAGCTGATCACCTCCTCCTGGGCTCTGGCACCCAGCCAAGGCGGGCTGCACCGGGCCTGCAGGGCTGGCCTGGGGGCTGGGTAGAAGGGAGATTGTGTAGGAGCACGAGATCTTTGGGACATAGAAGGCAAAGAGTCTCCATGAGCCTCTAGCCTCCCACCCCTCCCTAATGAGGAAACAGGCCAGAGGTGGGACCTACCAGGATCTAGTGTGGTTTAGTTGCACCTGGAAAGAGGGAGCTCTGAGGCAGGGGAGAGTGTGCAGCAAGTAGGAAGGAGCTCAGAGGCCCTCTACCTTCTTGCCATCACACTTGGCCCCAGAGTGCCAAGCCCCGAGGTGCTCACTCTCATCTCTGCTCCTTTTATCCACAGCAGTGGGCCTTGACGGTTGGGAACGGCTCGTCAGAGGTGGAAGGTAAGTCAGGAGGCTGGGAGTGCATATGCTCCCTGAGTCCCTCTCTTCTTCCCCCCAAGCCTTGGCAGTGGTGGGAAGAGTTGGCATAAGCGGGTGCCGGCCAATAAGGGAAGAGTTCTGACTGATGATGTTGGCAGGGCCTGAGAGGTCCCCACATTGTGACCCAGAGGCCCAGAGAGCGCCGTTGGCCAGGGTCACCCAGCCCTCAGAGAGCAAGGCTAGAGCCAGTCTACCCAGGGTTGGTCTGGCTGGCTCAGAGCCGCTTCCCTGATGTAAGGGTGCTGATGGGGTCTTGGAGGGCAGGGTGGGCAGGGAGTGCCAGGGGTTAGACTCAGGGGGGTTCTGGGAGCTGAATGCAGACAGCAAGCAGACAAGAGGTTGAGGGAGGGGTGAGGGCCCTCTGCAGCAGCCCAGCCCTGGTGGAGCTGCCGGGATCTGACCAGGCCTTTCCATTGATTACAAACAGACAGAACATGAGGCGCGCCCTCCCTGGCCCCTCCACCCCCCGCCCGGGGTTGCATCAGGAGGGAATCTTCAAAGGGCAATGCGACGTTTGCCAAAAAGACATACGTGCAGAAGGCAAGACTCCCATGCCAGGCCCCCTGCCTTGCGTTCCTCCTTGCCCCTCTGAGACGTGCAGGGTGGCCACACACCACTATTCAGGCGTCCCATCACCTCCCTGGAGAGGGGGCGTGTAGGGACG